CTTCTGATATACGTGCTAACAAAATTTCGCTACGTCTTCGATACTGACGCAGATTCAATTGACCGACTTCACAAATCGATTCCGAAAGCTTATCGCCATATATGGTAGAAGGTACGTCTATCTTAACGTATGTTTAAGCAAACCCATTCACCGATTCTACGTTGATGCAGATGTTTTTTTGCCAATCATTGGTATAAACCTGTTGCAATACCACAATCTATTCATCGAAAGGCGCGAACGGAGGCTAGTAGACGGAAACACCAATTTGTCCATTTGCGTAACTTTCTTTTCCGGTTACAGATTGTCTCCAGTCGTAGACACACGACAGATCTATTCTGTCAACCATTACTTGATAAGTACTCTCATATATGACATGTGTACCCAGCAATATTACATACCACATCACGAAGACAGGACCACCCGTACTATCGCGAGCGCGCCAACTGGCTCCCGAAACGTTTAGGTTGTCCGAAAACGAATTCAACCACATAGTAGATTTAAGGATCATTCGGCCGTCAAACAGCCCATGGCGATCCTCCTAACACATGGCCCCTGAAAATGACAGCAACGATCGACGTCCAACTGGAAACTATCAGCGATTGTATGCGAGAATCATTCCCGATCGTTATCCGTTGCCCCACATTCACGACTTGACAGCTACCTTGTAAGCTACAACTTTTTTCGAAAATCGACTTGGTCAAAGCGTAGATCCAAATTCCTATGGCCACTGACAACATTCACAAAACAGCTATGATAAACCCTTTCAGTCTCTACGAATTTTTGCGCATGCCTTTCGGACTAAAAATGCCACCCAGACCTTTCAATGATTCATAGATGACGTTTTTTGAGGTCCCAACTCCATACATGCGTGTGTTGATAGCAAGTCCGGACAGACACCTCATCTCCAGCATCTGGACGTTGTCTCTGAATCACGACAAAAGCATGGAATTACCGTAAACATTCAAAAATGCCGAATTGGGGCAGAATACTTGGATTTCCGCGGACATACTTGATGCTCCAGGCATCCGACCTTTCAGAAGCAAAGTGTCGGCCAATCTGAATTACCCAGAACCGACCATCATTAATTAATTACGCACATTTAACAGATTTGTGAGTTTCTATGGATGGTCTTCACCTAACTGCGCGTCCCTTACTTAATCGCTAACCGACGAAATCCATCAACTTAGTCGATACCGCGAGGAAAGCATTTTCTACAGTTGAAGAGCTTATCTCAAAAGCAACCATACGTACACATCAGGACATCCAAGCACCCATTAGTGTCGCAATGGACACACCCGAATCAGCAATCCAAGGAGTCCTACAACAATGGATTAACCACACGTGTCAACCTTTGGAATTCTTTTCGAGAGGGTTGCTAGACAATAAATCGCGCCATAGCATATTCGGTAAGGAACTCCTAACTATGTTTTGTGCTGTACGGAATTTTCCACACTCTACCGGAGGTCGAGAAGTCACTATTTTAACTGATCACAAACCTCTTACATTCCCTTCAAGCCCATCTTCAGACAAGTATTCACCCCAAGAGTCTCGAAAACTGGACTATACTTCGCAGTTTACTTCAGATATACAGCACATTTCTGGCGCGAACAATGTAGTTGCAGACCCTTTGTCTTGGATACCTTCCTTGAACAGTTTCTAATCGACCTTCTTAAACACGTTCAGCTTCAAAAAGAAGACACTTATCTTCAGCTCGAGTCATCTGCAACATATCTAAAACTGCCTAATAAATAGATGGGGACAGGTAAGAAGACCTTACTATGCGAAACATCTACAGGTTGGGATCCTCCGATCGTGCTTAAACATTATCGACGCAACTTCAATACGCTGCACAAGCTTTCTCGCCCAGGTGTTCGTGCAACCATCAAGCTCGTGGTAGAACGACTTTGCTGGCTTGGTATGAATAAAGGCGTTACGGAGTGAGCACGCTCCTGTGTAAGCTATCAGAAATCAAAGGTGATTAGAGACAATAAATCTCCCTTAGGCTCTTTCAAAACTCCCGATGCTAGCTTTCACCGTGTTCCTCTGTATTTGGTAGGGCCTTTACCAGATTCAAATGGATACCCTCATTTCTTGGCTGTCGTAGACCGTTTCACTCGATGGTCAGCAGCAGTACTTACCAAAAAAATTACTACTGAAACAGTGGCCCGCCCTTTTTTCGAACGTTGGGTAGTAAACTTTGGCTGCCCTCCAACTATCACATCAGACAGTGGACGCCGACTAGAATCCGGACGTTTCCGTTGTCTAACCACATTTCGAATGACCGCCCACCACTCACAAGCAAACAGGTTGGTAGAACGCTTTCGGTAACAGCTGAAAGTTTCCCTATCGGCGGCGAACCTTTCACAGTGGACAGACGTCCTTCCACTCGTCTTACGACCTCTCGAATCAGCTTATGAAGGACCTTTCAAAGTTCTTCAGCGCAAGCAAAACACTATTAATATTTTGTTTCATCTCGATTTATCTTTGTATAATATATAATATTAAAAAACAATTTTGGTATGCATATATTTACCTTAAAAACCAATTTGTTTGGTAATACACTCGCTAGTATGTGTATACTAAAAGTTTTTGAGAAAAACGAAGAAGCAATCGTTTCCTACACTACAGCATATGCATCAGTTTATTTTTCCTTTTTTCTCATGCTTTGAATCTTTACGCGCGTACGAGTGTAATTCGACATGCAATAACATATACCATTTTGCTCATCCAGGACGGCTGGAAAGGACAGAAAACAACGAAGAAGCTTGGGTTGAACATAAGTTTTGATTGTACCTTGTTTTTTTACCGGTATATTGTACTACATGGTCCCTTATAGTAAGGAAAGACAACCAGACGCTGCTTAACATAGCAAACTATGAGAAATGTGTTTAGCAACGACAAAGTCGTTGGGTTTGAACTTCTGGCTGGCCACGTATGAGGGTCGTCAATACCACGTTAGGGAGAAATGGTGTGTAGTGTTAAATAAATCCCCAAAATAAATAGCTCTGTAAGTGTTTGACATTGGATGCTGACCACATTAGTTTTAACGCTCCACTGTGACTGCGCGAAGATCGAAATAAAGACCTATTCACTACTTGTCTGGTTTCTTCTATCAGTAGCACGAGGGTTACCTTAAGGCATGAAAGACCCACCTAGCTGAAGGCGATAGGTCATACATCTGCACCAGATCACGAGTGGGAACGCCGTACTCAACATCCTCAGTAATCGCCAACCAGTCTAGATCAGTCGTTCCTCGATATATTGATAACCTATCAAATATACCTTCGAAATTCCTCGCTTCTCAATTTTGATTTCATTTGGTGGGAACGATTCATAGAAGGAGGTGTACTGGTTAAAGCGTTGTGAGTCTTCTAATGTCTGTGACATCTTCACAGTTATCATGTTCAACAGACTAAGAAACTCCACAGCTTAACTTGGAATCTACGTTACTTTAGATATTTTTGCGGCTTCTCCTTAGGTTTATCATGTGTCTATACAACAGTGTTTTGAATTTAGTCGGTCGACAATCCCATTCCTTTTGGTGTCGAACCAACGTCTGATTCATCCTGGTAGAGGGTGGTATTGGATCTACACTCCATGATCCTTGTAGTTAAAACTGTGGTTTCTGTAATTTACGCTCAACATTTTATACTTGGAGAAGCTCAGTAATCCTTCAAGCGAGGACGACTAGTTGGAATGGCATGACTCAGCCATGCTTTAATGGTCAATCTATATAAAATACATTGCATCTTGTATCAGATATCTTGTATTAGATATCTTGCACACTACTCAGTTGACATGCGTTCTTCAGAAATGTTAGACCATATATCGCTGATTTTACGACAGAACGAGTCAGTGTACACAATTATTTCACTTTGACGTAAGATCTTATAGATTACATGATCACATCATGACAAACCTTCAATTATGGGATTAGGAATGTTATTGTAGTAGACAGAAAAATTTTATTAAAAATTAAAAAGGATATAATTCTACACATAAACTGTAACATTGGGCTACTTGTTGTCCAGTCACAAAACGGCCTAAATTCATCGTTAGCCCAAACATAACAACTGCTGAAAGCTTCTGTATGATAGCCGCCAAAAGTTTCAGAACCTTAGGGTATATACACAGAGCATTTAACTGTGTAGATTCTAAAGCGTTTTCGACTTCGTACACAATGTTCATTCGTTTTAAACCCGAGTATTGCATACCGGCGACTATCCACTGCCTAAAACAGGACAGTGAGCCGTCGCAAAGGTTTCAAAGAACCGTAACTAAGATGATCCCCAGGATCACAAAGCCTGCGTAGGATGGCAGACAGGCTGAACTAAATCTATTTTCCTGTTCATGAGGTAGGACCAGAGGTCATTTGATCACGGTTTTAAAATTAATCAGTAATAATCTTGCATCTGGTAAGCCTTCATTTTCCTTAACCTCCTAAACACAATATACGAACACACTACCGTTCATTTGACTTTCGTAATTACGTATACTCTTTAAATTTAATCCGTTATCTCAAAGCATGTCTGAATTTGTATCTGTCGACGTTTAACATTGCTGAGTCAAGGAAAGCTCCTCCATTCTCCTGTGCTTTCAAAAGTTAAACCGCGTCTTTTTTTCTTGGTCTCCTCTTCTGGCTTCAACTTTTCGCGGTTATGATTTCATGTTGAGTTTCTATCTCAGGATAGTTTATATCTGAGTCTTTTGCAATTATCGATTATTGTTTATTACTTTTCTTCATAAATGCAAGCGAATTGTGTGATATTTCCGGTTGTTTGACTCACTTTTACTTTGTTTGTGCTTCCCAGCTCTCCTTATTCGCACTATTCTGAATGTTCCAATAGTACATGAAGTGCTTAATTTTTTAGACGTGAACGACTAAATAGTTTATAAAAATTCGTAAAAAATATTGAAAGCCAAATGCATTTGTGTCCAAAGGACAATGGTTTAACACTGTTTAAGTCAACTCGGGCCGTGTCCTTTAGCGGCTTGGAAGGATGAGTGATTATGTTTTGGATGGTGACCAAGGATTCCATGGAGATGAGTTTGTCGATGAAAATGAAAAGGAAGATGTTGGCGTAACAGAGGAAATGCATTTTGATGCTGTAAGTAATACTAAAGACGTTTACATTGCTATAGGAGCTGGAGGCCATCAAAGAACGCTTCAAAGAAATTGAAGCAGATACCAATAAGTTGCATGATTTACGCCGCGTTATCCAAAGGTCTCCAATCTCAAGTGAGTTATGTTTCAAGTGATCTGGTATTTTCAACCATCGTTGTGGGAGAAATACTCATGTTTAGCACCAAGTATTAGATGGTCCGATGCAAGTGACATACCCCACGCTCCGCGAGTCACGTTATTTTATGTTTTCGAAAGCTGTAGTCCCATAGCTTCTTCAAACTGACAGCTGTGGATTTGCTGAACACTCCGAATCACTCGTATGGGTTTGTATAGGGTTCAGTAGGCTCCACTTTAACCTCACTGAAATTAACCAGCAAAACTATGTATTTCACACAACTTGTACTAACCTATCGTCTATTATCAACCCCTTTTTTCCCCGGCAACACATTTGGCATCATCCGGGCCTCACAAAATTGGGGCTTGGTTTAGTTTTTTCCATAAGTTACGTTTCGCCCCATATCTGAAGTCTCTGTAAACTGCTTCATAATATCCAGTCATCACAACGATCACTGAATGCTGTCAAAATATAGCCCTCTGTTCAGTAATTACAGTTCGACTCCCATCATTTCTGCTCAGATCTATGCGAAGTCGAGCCCGCTCCGTTTCCTTATCTTGAAAGATTCGTTATCCAATCAATATCTTATTCTTCCTTTCGCTGTTTTGCAGATTGTTTTTCGGTCTGAACTCAAAATATTAGCTGTAATTCACCAGGTTTATGTACTGAACTTCAATTCTTGTGTAAGTGTCACTAATGGTTCGTTTCTCGAATCAAAATGAGTTAGGTTTCAAACGTATTGATTTGAAGCTGGATGTTTAAATCATGTTCACTTTGGCACTTTGATCTCGATACGATATGGATAAAAAGTAAACTACAAGGTAATTGATTATATTGTGAGAGAACTGAAGTAGTCAAACAATAATATGTTAAATAGAAATGGCGTTTCGGTTAAACGTACAGCACTAATTTGAAGCCACGGCGCACAACGCTGACCAGTCCTAATGAGGCGTGGTAACTTGGATCTATGCATGTGATCCTACGTTGTAGCTGACTGACTCAGTTCAAAAATAAAGTCGAAAGTACCTTCAGATGAGGAAGTTCACCCGTTTTGACTACAGCAGTTTCACCACCAACTTCCATTCGGATTAATATTTTACGTTTTGACTAACGAAGTTGCACGGTCTTCACAAAAACAAAAACGGAGTCGTGATGGACCCGCAGATGACTGTCGTATATAGACCACATTGGTAGCACAGCTATATCAGAGGCCGACTACTTCGCTCTTTTATCTCCCAGCGTCAGCAAATAATGAACGATTTGGATGTCCCAGTAGTAAAACTTAAAATATGACTAAGATATTAAAGTGTCTCTAGACATTCTAATTGAATTACTATCATTCAGCCCAAACACTGCATCTCAGTTACATTCTCACTGAGCTTCAGTAATCCTTCGACAGCAGTGAGATAAAGAGCAAGGTAGTCAAACATCGTCGGAAGGACCAAACCTTACAGGCGTGCAGTAGAAACGATCACTGGTTTGTTGGATGAAATTTTATGTCTTGGTGTTCTACTGATACCTGACTGGTTTATCGATATACAAGCTAAACGATTTGTTAAACGCTGAAAAATTCGACAAAACACTGATAATCTGATTCCTCCTTTCTCATGTTAGCTTCAATATATGAAGTCATAGATTAGTGTAATGTCCCATTCTTGTGCACCCAAATCAGGCTTTAGAGGCCGGCAACTAGCATCACTATTTGGGATTCGTTAACTTAACGAGTCAGTCACTTCAAAATCACGAATTTGAGTGTTCACTGGTCTCGTGTTTGCATAACAATTAGTTTATACACAAACAATATAACTGATAACAGTTCTCAATTGTAAAAAAATCAGCTGTTCTAAAATTACCCATAAAATGCGGTGTTTCGCTGGTTGACATACTTCCCGTAATATTTTGACCAGTCCATTGTCACCTTGGGTTGTGGTTATAAGCTTATGTATTTAAGTTTTTTAAAATACTCTTGTTGTACAGTACACTTACGACCTTTCTTCTAGCATCTCAAGTGTCCTTTTCTGCTGCAGAATCAAATAACTCAAACATGTCAGATGAGGATAAGACTGAAGTTGACTTGCGCTCTGTATACGTTGGAAATGTAAGTCACTGTTGTATCCCATTCAAAAGTTAGGTTGATTATGGTTCGACGGCCGATGAACTAGAAGCACATTTTCGTAGTTGTGGACCAATAAACCGTGTTACTATATTGTGCAACAAATTCACTGGGCACCCTAAGGGATTCGCATACATTGAGTTTGATACTCGTGACGCTGTCGAAGCGGCAATCGCTCTGGATGATTCATCTTTTCGGAGTCGGCAGTTAAAAGTTCTACCTAAACGAACAAACGTCCCTGGAATGTCCATGACAAATCATCTTCCGTTTGTTAGAGGTCGCGCACGCGGTAGAGGAATGTCTATTAGTTTCCGTCCAGTATATGCCGGCCGAATGCGATTCCCACGATATCGGTAAGTATACTGAACACTAATAGGTCTTATCCTTATTTTATATGATTCTAAGGCTTACTTCTTCTATAATTTCAGGCGACGTGGTACTTATTACTTTTCTCCCTATTAAAATGATGAGTGTAATGGAATAATAAAGGAAAAAGAAGCTGAAGACAAAAGGAATTTACATGTTCTCATATTTTACTTTGTCATTCAATGTTTTTTTGTGGAACTAACAGTTCTGTCTAAATTTTAGGTGTTGCATACCTCTACATGATGCGCAAGCATTTTGTTCTGCAATCTGGCATAACCATATCATACTTGTGAAATTTTTATTTAAACATGCATTGTAAATCGATCATATCTTGATTTTTAAATTAGGTGGCTTGTTTATCAACGTGCTTGATTGAAAAAAACCGTTAATCATGTATTTTTCTGTAGATATGAGTACGTTAAATTAACTATTTTCGTAGGTTCTTGATTAAGGTTACTGATTAGATCTTTCACTATTGTCCTACATGTCTCACGTACACCTATTGTTAGTGAGCTCTTTCACAAACTTTGGGCACCCGAGTAGTATTTCAACCCTCACATAAATCGAATGCTTTGTGTGGCGCATATATATCTGACAAGTCCTTGTACCATTGTTTATATGTTTAATTAATAATAATAAGAAATAACTTTTATTGGTTTAAAAATGATGACACATGTGCGTCAGCTACTATACTACGGCATAGCAAGATGTAAGTAATATAATGAATACTAAAGGACCCAACATAATAATTTATTCAAGAGTAATGTGAAAAACTAGACATCAAAAAGTGAATTCGAGACATGAGGTGTGAAATAACATTAAAGCTGAAGACTTAAATAGAAGGCTAGTTAATCACACATTTACGTGATAATATCATACTGGTGACAACCAGTGCTTTTCGAAAAATTTCGGACACTAGGGAAAGGTAAAGGGTCGTTTTGATATATAAAATGCGAAGTCAGGATATCACTTTATTACTTAAGACGTATTTTGCCATGATTTAATGTTATATCAGCAGTGTTCTAAAATATTCACACAAGCATTACTGTTCATAATCGTACACTAGCCAAAGGGCTCCTAACCAATCCAAGCAGGTTATTTATCATTTCAGTAGTAGTCCACAAGATTTAAGAAATATTTCATTCATATTATTTTTTGATATAGAGGACTTGTTATTGACCGTTTTCAGTTGAGTGTAAAGCGTACTCTGGGTCTGCATTCTGTGAAATTGCCTTAAGAATACCTGCTAGCACAGTGGTCCTTGATGTTATCCCGTGTCTGTCTACTGTGCTACTATTATTTACGATTCCCCGTTATTGTAGTTAATATAAGTTGTTAGGACACCTATCGTTTAAGGGAATTATCAGTTTCATCATTTGATTTAAGACTTGAACTCGTAACATACCATTTTTAATCACTCGAACAGTGCGTTGAAGCATGCTAAAATTGGGGTCGGTTAGATCAGAACATGTTAATTATAAGTTCGAATTCATTTACTGTGGCATTTCAATGATGGAACTAAATGCTGTGGCACAGCCAGGTGTGTTGGGAGTTCACTTCTCCTCTTGTAAAGCTGTCATAACCGCGCGTATGTGGCCACATTCAGCGCAGTCTTAATGATAGACCTTTTGTGGCAGGGATATTTTTTGCGGAGTTGAGAGGACCATAAAACCAGGTTTGTGGGCACGGGGGTCCCTGTGGAGGGGGTTGGGCAACCCTGACATAATTCAGTGGTGCCTATGGGCTTTGTGATCCTGACGGAAGAAGTAGCACAAGGAGCTGGTCTTGGTCACTGGCTACCATGAGGTCACAACTAACGCCGTTCCACAGCCTGGTTCGGTTTAGTCACTCTTCCGTTATCCTAGCCAGCAAACAAATTAAATGGTTACAAAGACCAAGTAATTATTCTCTCTTCAATTCGCTTCCTTACAAATCATATAACTTTTCGGTAACTTCCGTTCTTATTCTACATAGTGCCGCATGTGGGTTTCCCGTCATCCCCAATTTTGTATCGTTATTGTCGCCCATGGTGGCAATCGTCCTATCTAAATGAAAGTTGAGTACTACCACCGTATACGAATCATGAACCAGCTTTTCTGAAACCACATGTGGCGTTCGCACGTTGTTGCAGATCGGAAAATCACGTTTCGTTATGTATTTATGAAGCCTCAACATAGACATCTTGTCTATCCGAGACCCGTATTCAGTCAGTCAGCTACAACGTAGGACCAGGCACATATATGCATCGGCCCAGGTTGCCAGACCTCATTAGCACAGCAAGATGAACACCGGATTCATAGGAGTGGTTAGGTCAAAGGTGGTAATATATAAAAGAAAGATTGCATACAAGGATACAGTACAGGAAGAAAGAATTAGTTAGTAGACAGGAAGATATGAATTGATTTTAATCTCTTAGTTTAAGGGAAGATAGGGAGTGTATGCACCGACGCCATTGTGATCGATTCTGAGCCATGTCACCAAGAGTCTCCAACCATCGGTTACGAAAGTCACGCGGACCCCGACCAAGTAGTCTGCATCTGCCAACATGGCTCAGACTAGAGGTTAGTGACTTCAAACAGTGATGCCACGTTCTGGTTCGGCCACCCCTAATTCTCTTCCAACCATCTCTAACACCCGTCAGCATTGCACGTCGTGGTAATCGGTGTTCAGGCATACGTAACACGTGGCCCAACCATCTCAGTCGATGAAGATTAACAACCTCGTCAACTGATTTACCACCATTACCAAATACCCTGCGTCTAACCTCACTATTACCCGGTGATCCCAAAAGACGTCAGCAATATTTCTAAGGCGTCTGTGGTCAAATACTAGTAACTTACGGGTGTCTTCTACTCTTTAAGGCCATGTTTCGCTGCCGTAAAGTAAGACAGAACGGACTGCCGCGCAGTATACTCGTCCTTCAATTGATAGACGGATATCTCGCCTTCACCATGGACGACGCAAGTCGGCAAAAGCCAAGCGAGCTTTTCGAATCCGTGCTGAGATTTCGTCCGATACAAGCCCATTAAGGCTGATCAGACTTCCAAGATAAGTTGTCGACGCGTTCGACTGCTTCACTCTCTATCCTTAGTTCAGGTGTTGACGCAGGCCAGTCCTGAAGCAAGAACTTGCATTAAGAGGGAGAGAAGCGCATTCCAAACATTCTGGCATTGTTGCTTGATGCTATCAAAGGACTGCATTTTGTCAGCATCTTCACCAAACAGGACTATATCATCTGCGTATTCAAATTCGATAAGTGGACCTCCTAGAAGGAGATCAATACCGGAGAATCCAGTCGACGAGAATGTTATTTCCATCAATAGGTCTATGATGAAGTTAAACAAAAATGGAGAAAGTGGACAGCCTTGACGGACACCACTTGAGGTTGCAAAAGCAGATGACAGTTCGCCATAAGCTCTGACTCGACTGGTAGTGTTCGAGTAAAGAGCCTTCACAAGGTTTATGTACTTCTGAGGTACGCCTTTCAATGACAGACACTGCCACAGAATCTCGCGGTCTACCGAGTCAAATACTGCTTTTAAGCCAAGAAAGACCACCATTGTCGGACGTCGATAAGTATGCCTGTGTTCTAGAACCTGACGAATGGTGAATATGTGGTCGATGCAACCACGACCAGGTCTGAAGCCAGCTTGATTCTCTCGTGTTTGCAGTTCACGAGTCTTAGGCGTCCGATAATTATCGAGGCTAGTATTTTAGATACCATATTAGTTAAACTAATCCCCCTATGGTTGTCACAGGATGATTTTAACCCTCTATTATATATTGGGACGATAAGTAATTGTGACCAGTCAGATGGGATAATGTCTAACTCCCAGATTTTAGCTAAAATATTAGTCAACCTAATCGCTAAAATTGGACCACCATCCTTGAAGACTTCTGGAGCCAATCCATGTGGACCAGCTGCCCTTCCTCGTTTTAGATTAACTGTAGCCTTTTGAACTTTGCTAGAGTTGGGAGACCTACTTCAATGTTTCATTCACACTGTCTGGGAATGGAGGGTAGTTGTAGAGTAGCTGAAGGCCAGCTGAACTGTTCTAAACGTAGATGAGAGTGTCGTCTTTTTCCGAAATAATCTCACTTACACTTGACTTATTAATTCCAGTTTCTTTTATTAGTCTGTAAAGCTGTCTTTTGTTCCCTATAGCCGTGGCCTTTTCCATCTCTTTTGCTTTCGTTGCCCACCACTGCTCACGGTCGTTTCTTAGACTTTTTCTTAACCTAGATGTTCGGAACCTGACGGGACAAGTTTGCGAGAATCCATCAGTGTGATAGACTTTGAAGAAATCCACTGGTTCTTTGTAACTCTGTGGTTTAAGTCACTAATAGATTTCATTGCTGTTTCCACAGTTGTTTGTATATCTTTCCAAGCAACACCTGGGTCAGCCTCGTTTCAGAACTACCTGTGTAACCTCAGTTGTTCCTGGAACCTACTTTTGGTTTTCACGTTACTCAACTCAGTTCTAATTGGTCTTTTTAATGTAGCTTGTCTGCGTCCAGTGAGGCATAAGCGAATGTGTGCCCGTATTAGGGTGTGGTCGGAGTCCAATCAGGTACTCCAGAATGAGCGACAACTTTCTAAAGACCCTCTCCAACGATGACTGATGGCAATATGGTCTATTTGAGTCCATCGTTGGCTTGGTGCAGGCGGTCGCCATGTTAAACGATGTCTCTCCTTATGCTTAAAATTTGTGTTTGCTAAAAATAAGCGATTGTCTGAGCACAGTTGCAGCAGACGGTCACCATTATCTGTTCGCTGTGCCGGAATGCCAAAATATCCACCTAAATGCCTTTCTGTTTGGTTTAAGCTACCTATCTGAGCATTAAAGTCACCCCCTAGGAGTACTATGTCTGAGCGTTTAGCTTTCTGAAGAAGTTCGGACAGCTTTCTGTAAAATTCATCTTTCACATCATCTGAGCTGGAGTCGGTGGGAGCGTAGGCAGAAACGACAAAAAGGCAACGAGGTGTGTCCCTATCCTTCCGAGTTCTTACGGAGCCGTTTAGCCGAACAGCACATAGACGACTGTTGACGGGGATCCACTCTAGCAGTGCTTGTTCCACCCTCATGCTTAGTGCT